ACTCGAAGGTAGCCTTGGAATTTCGAGTGTTCCTATCAAGGCAAGAATACGTTCGAGTGGGAGCCCTATTCGGACCCCGCACTCGGGGAAGTGCCTTGGAACATCAGTTCTCCAGAGGCTTGAGCCAGGTCAAGTAGTGCCACGTGGGCTATCTGGACTCGGGGGCAGCCTTGGAACTTTGAGTGCACCAATAGGTTGGCATTGGCACGGTGCTCCATATCGATTTCGTACAGGTCAGTGTACTTATTACCTTATTCGGAGGCGTCAAAGATCGTCCTTGGGCTGCGTTCCCTCAACCATCACCACTTTAGTATTTTGTCATTATATCGTGTGCGTTTTAAGACGATTCTGCTAAGCCATGTGACACATCGTGTCACTCATCTGGAAATACGGACCAACGCACTCTTATCGAAGCGACACCTGGATCGTCGATCCAGTGGCTAAGGATTGTCCCATTCTGCTTTAAATTGGAAATGTGCCCCATTCCTGTCGTCATTGCCCTTTTTCCTATCATCCTACATGAGTCCATCTACGAATAGATAAAATGCTCAGATTTTCCAATAGCAACCTTATCGAGGTGGACAATCATTCAGAGAACGGTCCGCTTTCCCAGAGGGGCATGCTCTTGATGGTGACGAGGACTACTTTCTCTCAAATGGTGAGCAGGCTTCTTCAGAGGAAGAGGATTTCGTTGTCTCCAATGGTAGGTGTCCTATAGAGGAGGAGGACGATGCAGATGAGGATGGGGTTGAAGACGGGCCTTGAGAACTCGAGGAAGGCGAATCTTCGAACGTAGCGGCGGACTTTCTAGAATATGGGGTCCTGGGCTCCTACAGACCTTCTGCATCTTAGTAAGGATGAACTCATTATGCGGGTCTTTGAACAAGAGCGAGACCTTGGCAAGATGCAGGAGGACTTCGTCGAGAGAACGACCGTCGTTTCGCTGCGGAGACGGTTCAGAAAGTCCTCTGGGGGATGGAGGAGATGGAGCTGGCCTACCAGTCGCTCTTCCGCAGGGTCAGGCATCTGGAGATGAGGATGGTGCTTCATGCACTCGTGCCTTGATTTCGTGACTTTTCTCCTTTTTTTTGTATAGGCAACAGGTTTTTTGTTGCGGCATTGCTGCCTTTTTCTTTTATCCTCGTGTAATGAATCGAGGGTGCCCACGACCTCCTCGTTCCATTAATGAATATTTTCTTTTTTCGACTCTTATTTTATGCGTATCTCGAGGCAACCCTCGCGAGAGGTGACGAAATTGTCCCCATGGGGACCCCTCCGTCTAGCTATAAAAAAGGTATGGAGAGAGAGGGCTTTTACCCTTTTCTCAAACCTTTTTGTTTTCTTCTTCAGACCGTCCCTGCCCCGAATGGAGGTTTTTTCAGGCTAACGTGACCTCAAAGAGCGCGTCTGTTGCTCGCTCCTAATTTGATCTCACTTTCACGACCGTCGGCTCTCGGATTCTGAGCGCGTGCGTGCGATGGCCAGCAAACGTGCCCGTCTCATAAGAAGGTACTTCAAGCAGATGCAATCCCTCTTTCCTAGATAGAGCTTCGAGTCTTCTTACTAGRGAGGAGGTATGACATTTCTTAAGTCAGGGACTTCAGAAGTTTCTTTTTCCTATCTCTTTTGTTTATGTTGTAGTACTGCCATGAGTGGCGTCTGTAACTTGTAATGTTGGTTAGATAAATAAAATCAAAACTTCCTTCCTTTGCATCCCCTTTACGCCTAGTCTTCGTGCTTGTCCTTCTCTCTTTTTTTTTTACTCTGCCCACGCCGTCGTGACGGCAGATGCGCGTTTCAAAAGTCCTACACACGGGACCACGCACGCCTTCAACAGGTTTGTCGTTTGAAACCTCCTTCCACAGGTGATGGTTCGGTGCCTCCCTGAAGGGACATGCACTGCCAAGAAGGCACTAATTCGTCTGCCCGACATTTCTTTTTCCAAAGTCTTTATTAAAGCATAGTAGTTAATGTCTTCAATTCGATCATTTGCCTTCCTGCTTTGGTAGGTGGTATCCTTGTTATAAAAGCGGGTGTCTCCCTCTCCAACCTTCATTTCTGGCAATCGGGAAAAAAAGGAAACGCTCATTCGATAACATCATTCCTCGTGACAACCACGGTTTCCCTCTCGGTGAAGATGAATTGGCTGCCGAGGTCATGAGGTGCCGATATGGAGAGTTTCGCCCACAACTAGGTGGATCAGGCTGATTTCTTTTATAAAGCCATTACCACTCTGGATATGGAGAAGGTTACACTGGAGGTGGAAGTCGAAATCCTTCGTGCCAATAACGAAGCCATCCACAGGTGCCTTGACACAATGGAGCATACTTCAACGTCAACGCGAGAGGTGTGTAGGAAGAGCAGACAACGTCGACGCTGGCCTATTCGAAAAGAGGCGCCTTAGGTGAGGCATAGTCCTATTCTATCAACTGAAACATTTGCTCGCCCATAGGGAAACTTTATGTTGTCATTGTTATTTTGTGTAACCTCAAGTGAAAATGTGCTTAACTTTTTATATTAAGTGAAACGGTCCTTTTGTCTGCCTATTTCGATTTCTTTCGCTCGACCTAGGCTTTTAGGGAGTCATGGTTATGGGAAGTTATCACCCCAGCTTGGGCAACGCTTCACCCTGACGATAAATGAGGCCCGGTCTTATGCTTCCACGTCAAATCAAAATAACGACAAGGAAAGGGTTCCCATTTTATTTAATTATTAAAGGAGCTAGATACATGATGGGTGATGTTTTGTTCGGTCGTCTCACGGGTAGTACACATGGAGATGTTGTGTGTTCCATGGATGAAGAAGGGGTTTGCCCTTCATGTCCTCCAGTGTGTAAGCCTTGGTCGTATGACACCAATTACTTGATAGGGACCTTCCCCATTAGGGCCGAGTGCCCTCGGTCTTTTCTGTTCAGCATCACTTTTCTCAGTACTAGGGTCCCGACCACAAACCTACGCGATTTTACCCGCATGTTATAATACCTAGCTGCTCGTGTCTAGTATTGTGCCACACGAAGACAGGCAATTTCCCTGTGTTCCTCCATGCGATCCAAGGAATTCATGATTCCTTCCTTGTTTAGATCCTTATCGAAGGCCTCGGTCCTCAACGTGGGAACTTCCATCTCCACTAGCTTGACTACTTCCATCCCGAAATACATCGAATATGGGGTTTCCCCCGTCGTGGTTCTGGGCGTGGTCCTGTAACCCCATAGGACGCTTGGATATTCTTCAGCCCGCTGACCCTTGAGTTGCTCGAACCTTGTTTTTAGAATTTTCTTGATAATCTTGTTCACCACCTCGACTTGCCCATTGGTTTGTGGATGTGTCGGGGTCGAGCAGAGGTGTTCGGAATCAATTGAATTTTCGTTGTCAAACTACCTGCCATTGTCTGAAATGATGGTGTTCGAGATATCGAATCAGCAGACGATGGATTTTTAGACGAAGGTCGTCACTTTTTGCTCAATGATGGTGGTGAGGGGCTCGGCCTCTGCCCACTAGATGAAGTAGTCGACTACGACGATCGCGTATTTGGTCTGGCCTTTTCCCGTGGGTAGTGAGCCAACCAAGTCAGTCCCCCATTACGCGAAAGGCTAGGGCATGGTTAAGCTCGCCAATTGCTCAGCTGGCTATCGAGTTACAACGGTTGTCCGCTGACACCTATCGTAGTGCCTTGTGAACCTTTTGGAGTCTTTGCCCAAGGTGGGCCAATAATATCCTTGGCACAAGATTTTCTTTATGAAAGCTCGGTCGACTAAGTAGTCTCCACAGTCGTCCTTTTAGACTTCGCTGAGGACACACTCGGCTTCAGCCTGGCCCACGCATTTGAGGAGCAGACCCCGTTTCTGAGGAGGTAATGGGCAACCTGCCTTCAAAGTCGACGGGCGTCCGGTCAACTTTCGGGCAACTCCCCCATTTCCAAATACTTAGTAACTGAGGTTCTCCAGTCCGCGACTTTGGGTTGGTTGATATCCATTATTTCGAGTTCAATGAGGCTTGACTTGTTTATGATCTCAACCAATACATTCCTAGGTAGATCGATTTCATAGGATGATGCGAGACGGGCTAGGGCATCTGCTTTGGTATTCTTTGAATAAGGAACCTACTCGACTGAGCTTGTCTAGAAAGAGCTCAAGAGCGCGTGTACCTTCTTGAGGAACAAGGTCATTCAATCATCCTTGGCCTGATATTCCCGCTTGACTTGGTTGACAATTAATTAAGAGTCGTTGATGAGGCAGAGGTGACGAGCTCCCATCAATTTGGCTAGTCGTAGTCCGACGATCACTACCTCGTACTTGGCCTCGTTGTTGGAGGTTTGGAACTTGAAGCTAAGGGCATACTCGTGGCGACTCCTTTCTGGTCTGGTCAGCAGGATCCCAACCTGTAACCTTGCTCGTTTGTCGATCCATTAGTGTATAGGGTCCACCGTTCCCGCTTGGCTTCGAGGCCTTCCTCATATTACACGGGAGTTAATTTGGCCACTAAGTCGGCGGCTGCTTGGCCCTTCATGGATCACCTAGGGATGTACTGATGTCCTACTCGCGATGCTCGATGGCCCAATTCATGATTCTTCCCGAAGCTTCAAGCTTCTGAAGTGTCTGTCGAAGGGGCTGGTCCATTAGGACCAGTATTTGGTGGGCTAGGAAGTAGGGTCGTAACTTACCTGTCGTAGTGACTAGTGCAAGGGCCATTTTCTCGATCTAAGTGTAGCGAGTTTCCACCCCGATTAGGGATTTGCTGGCGTAGTACACGGGGTGCTATTTTTTGCCCTCTTCCTTTTCTAGAGCTGAGCTGACTGCATTCTCGGAAACAGCCAAGTAGACGTACTGAATCTCCCCCAAGTTTGGCTTTGCTAACAGAAGAGCGGAAGCGAGGTACCGCTTCAGATCTGCGAAGGCTTTTTCGCACTCGTCCGCCCACTCAAACTTTCCTTCTTTCCTTAGTGTCCTAAAGAATGGTAAACTCTTGTCGGTCTACTGTGAGACGAACGTGTTTAGGGCTGCAACCTTCCTGTTTCGGCTCTAGAGCTACTTCAGGTTAGCCAGTAGCCTCATGTCTAGGATGGCTTGAATTTTCTCGGAATTGGCTTCGAGCCCTCCATGCACTATGAAGTCGAGGAATTTACCCAACCTTACTACGAAGACGCACTTGGTCAGATTCAGCTTCATCTCGTGACTGCGCATGACCTTGAAGGCTTCATAGAGATCCTGCTCGTGCTGTTCGGCTGTTCGGCTTTTGACGAACATGTCGTCGACATACACCTCTATGTTCCTCCTGATCTGCGGGGCAAACATTTTAGTCACCATCCTCTGATAAGTCGCTCTTGCATTTTTCAGTCCTAATGACATGAGCTTGTAGCAAAACAACCGTTGTTCGGTAGTGAAACAGATGTGTTCCTGATCGGCACCTAAGCCACTTAGAAGAGCATAGACTACCCCTACAGAACAACACGAGTCCTTTCAGCATGCTTTATCCTCACTCACATGCTTCCTAGTAAAGCAACTAGGATGTCACCCAACTTAAGATTGCTCCAAGCCAAGCACGCTTAACTTTGGAGTTCTTACGATTGAGCCACAGAAAAGGAAGGTGCACCTTGTTGGTATAGGTAGTGACTATCAATTCTTTTTAACCCTTTATTGACCATTCTTCAATAATCTCAGGATCTCTCTCATTCGGATGTGGTGTCGGTTCATTCATGTACCCCTCCTCTTGGGCGTCACACATTCGGATCTAGTTGTACCCGGAATAAGCATCCATGAATGTTTGTAATTCATGCCCCGCGGTAGCATTGACCAGCCGATATATTCTTGGTAGGGGAAGCTATCATTGGGGCAAGCCTTATTCAGGTTGGTGAAATCCATGCACATTTGCCATTTTCCGTTAGCCTTTTTGACCAAGACCACATTGGACAGCCAGTCGAGGTAGTGGACCTCCCGAATGAAATCTGCCTGTAGCAGCTTGGTTACCTCCTCTGCACCGGTAGTGTTGCATGCGCTGTCCATGGTTCGTTTCCTTTGTCTTACTGGCTTCACCCCAAGGTCCACATTTAATCGATGGACGGCGACCGATAGGTCGATGCAAGGCATGTATTCATGGGACCAAGCGAATATGTTCGAGCTGTACCAGGTGCACCT